GGGTTGTCTGGGCGTTGCCGTCCCCGGGTCCCTTCTTGCTTGTCCCCACCCCGGCCCCCGCCACGTTGTTGGATTTCCAAGCTGAGCTCGGGACCGTCGGCACCGGGAATTCAGAGCGAGGGATTTCTCGGACTGCGCGGGTGCTGGCCTAGGACCGAGTAACCTTCTTGCCGCCAGCGATGTCGGGGTCGTCCCCCCTTACTGTTTTACTCATCTCTTGGGAAAAGTGCGGCGAGTGGGATCTGTACCCCCCCGGCAGCATTCCCGGCAGCAGCGGAGGAATAAGATGCTCGGTGGTGATCACCGCCTTTTGCAGAGGAACAGGCATGGGCTTCGGCCAAGCTGGAGGAGATGATCCTCAGACCGCAGAGTCGGGGGGACCTGGGTGTCCCTGTTCACAAGGGGACCAAACCCTCCTGGAGGTCGCGGGACCAGCCGGCGTCTCCAGCGGGGCGGCGTTTCGTTCCGTTCTGTGCCTTAAGCGGTTACAATCAAGGAGTGACGCTCGACCCGGCACAAAGCACGGGGTCAGCCTCAGTGATGCAGCAGCCATGTTGACTCTGCCTTTGTGCGTGTGTGTGTGTGCGCGTGTGCACGCGTGTGTGTGTGCAAGTCGTGGAAAAAGGGGTCTTCTCGGGGTGCAGGAGGTCTCTGCGGGGTACACCCGCGGGTGGGACGGATGCCTGGGACCTTTGCCACGGGCTGTGCAAAGGGATGTTTGGAAGCTGTTGATGCCTGCAGCGGGCAGGGCTGAGCACCGGCCAGTCCGTGCTGGGGAACCATCAGGGTTCAGGTGGGAGCTGGAGGAGATCTTGGCGAGGACGGCTCTCTGCTCGTAGCCGTAGCCCTGCTAACCCATGCCCATGCTGCTGTGCCGGGGCTGGAGGGATGCTGATGCGTTTTGGAGCTGCAGGAGGAGCCCAGTAAGTCTCCGTAAAACCCAAGTGGGTGCCTAAAATTAGGCAGAGGGGACCGGTACCTGCGGATCTGGGCTGCCAAGGGCTGGGTGCCTTCTCTTCCATGTCTCCTGGGACCAGCCCCAGGTACAGGGAAGGGGGATGTCACCTCCGTGGTGGTGTGTGAGGGAGCAGCTGCAGGACCGTGGAGCCTCAGATGGGGAGAGTGGAGCTGTGTCGGTCAAGGGCAGCTGGAAACAAATTTCTTCCTGTGGTATAGTTGGAGTTGAAGGAGAAAAGGGACCCGTTGAAAGCAGAAGTGACCTACAGCCTCTTTAACCAGCACTACCCTGCTGGAAAACCTGGGCAGGGAGCACACACAGAGTCCCTGGGAGCTAATTAATTAATCAAATCTTGGTTATTTTGGACAAATTAATTGCACCAGCCCACCTCCCCCTTCCCTGCTGCATTAACTATTTCCACTCAGCTTGGGAAAGGGTTTTACTGGGAGGTTGTCATCTTCAGGCCAGTGTGTCAAACACGGGTTTATTTGATTTTAATTGAAAATGAAAAGTGTTGCTTGGACTGAAGAGGAAATTGAGCAATTGGTTGTTTGCGTGACTCTGTCACACATCCTTGAATTCTTCTGCGTGGAAGAGATCACGACTTTACACCGCTGGTGTGGCGGTGGGGGCGCTTCCTTGTCTGCAGCTCCGAGAAGGGAAGCGAAAACTAAGAGTTATTTCAGTTTAAAATAAAAATAAATAATAAACCACTGGTAGCGTTAGGGCAAATTAAAAGAAGTAGCTAAAAGGATTCCCTATAAATTTTCCTGCAATGCTCAGAGGCCAGTTATTACCCAGGCTGGGGACTGGTGGAGCACCAGGGCTTTGTGCCAGTCGACCACAGCGATGGTGGGCGACTCTCCTGGGGGGACAGATAAAGTCGTTCCCTTTCTCCGAAGGGGAATAAAGAATTTTATTCTGTGAATAGGACCAAATCCATCAGTCTGCTCCCGGATGGAAAAAAAATAAAATAAAGTCAGTGTTGGCTGGGAAGAGTTTTGTCAGAAGAGGGTAATCAAGCGTGTTTTCACCAAAGCTAAAAAAAAAAAACACCAAAAAACCAAAAAACGCAAACCAATTTTTAAGCTGTTTTTTCCTGTTTTATTGAATCTGTTCCATTTTCATTTTCTCAGCTCTTCAGTGGTGGGTGTTTTCCTTCTTTCCAAAGCCTCGAGAGCAAAACAGGGTTCTTGACACCCCGGCAGCATTTTGGGGCAGCCCAAATCGCCCATATCCTCCCGTGGATGGATGTGGCTCGTGTGCGTGTGTGTGTGACTTGCTCCTCAGGTGCCTTTCCCGTTTTGTTTTTTAAAACCCTTGCAGTGTTCCGATGTACAGAATGAAACAAGGAGAAGAGAATGTACTGTTATGCCATGCAAAGTCGTGGTTTGGTTTGTGCTGGTGTGTGTTTGGTTTTTTTTTTTAATTTTATTTTATTTCGCCAGTCGCGGGCCCAGCAGCTTGCCCGGCACGCGCATCATCATGTATCCATCAAGAAATTATTTTCTTTGGGGGAGAGGCTGGAGTGGGATGTGGCCTGTCCCCTGCACACCAGTGTGGTTCCTTCCCAGTGGGACAGTTCCCAGTGGCTGGGCGCGGGTGGGGGGCGAGGAGCGGTGCCAGGGGTGCCCGGTGTGACCTTCCCTGGGCGGCGGCGGGGCCGGGGGTGACGAGGCAGAGATGGAGCTGATGGTTTGGAGGTTTTTACTCAAAAATAATGAATCTGCGCAGTTCTCGGACCCAGTGGCTCTGCGTGTCCCTTTGTCCTGGCGTCCCGCTTTGTTCAAGTGCTCCAAACACACTGGGGTTTATGTTTTTAATTTATTTTGGTTTTATTTCTATTTATTTATGTATTTATTTTTTCTATTTAAGTTTCCTAAAGGAAAACTTTTCTTCTC